CCCGGCTTCACACGCGTTTAATTTACATGTGGCGTCATTTATGTTAAAAAAATACTGTTCGATCAATTTAGTTTGTTGCTTATTACTATGAAATTATTAATAAAATATCTTATCGTGTATTTTTGGGAAACATAGATCCAAATTTGTCCACGGCCTACAGATTTAACAACTTTGAATAATTTAGCTGTTTTATCATTACCGCCAGTACATTATGTCTATATACAATGTTTACAGCTGACTTTTCATTAAGCAATACAAACAGATTTTGTCTGAAAGTGACACCCGAAAGCGCTACACATAGCTGATGATAAAATGTTTCACATGCTGAAACGAAGGAAGCTGGGGCGGAGACGTGCCGGTCGTGATTTTTTTTTGGTTGCACGTAATTTTGAAACTGTGAAAACTTCTAAAGTATTGATTTAAATGATGATGATGATTGAAATGATAATTCAATGGATAATTTTAATTAAGGTGAAATGCCCAAGTTAACTCACATATTTATTAAGATGAATATTAATACTGAATTACAGGAAACATCTTCGCAAATAAGCAAATATTTTTAATTAATATTTCAAAGATAAAAGTGGTTACTGTGAGTGAAACTTAGGAAATAGACATATTATTACGCTAGCGCAGACTTTTGCTCTAGACCTTTTGAAGAACTACGATTCCTTAGTACATTATTTCGAGGTATCTCTTAAAGTTTAGTCAGCGAAGTAAGCGCCCTAATATCGATTATTTGATGTTTTAATTACAAAATATTAAACTTTTTTCACTATTCAAACTTAATTAGAATATATTTTACATACTAACCTTCCATATAACATCTCTAAATGACAGTGAAAAAGGTATTACAAACCGTTGTTGGTTGTGTAGTTTAAAAGAAGTAAGTAAGTAAGGTGTCATTTTGAAAAATGGAAAACTATGTATTAGTTTAATTTAGAGATATAATAATAAAAGTAAAAGTATATAATAAAAATAAAAGTACTCAACAGTCAACACCCCGTAAAATAAAAAGTGTCGTACAAACTTTAACACCTTATTTCAACGTCTGAGGGTTTGAATTTTTCAAAATCTTGTCTTAGTTAATTACCTACGTAATAAAATGAAACTATGTTGTAATATTTTCGTGCTTCTACGTTCTGCGGTTTGAGCTTTACGCTGGTATTATGTGAAAGCGTGGTCTGGATGGATGCCTAAGTTATAAAAGGCAGCTACTGTCAAATTTTCGGATTACTACGTAATACTTTAGGCTGTGCTTTGATAGATGGGTCAGTTACCCAGGATATCCTCTTTCATATAATATAATATTATATATATATATATATATATATATATGTTCAAGTATGAATCGTACTTGCCAACATATATATTTAATCGTACGGTAAGATTAAATGTTATCTCTGCCTTACACATACTACATAGTAACTTTGCTATATAATGCCCTGCAGTGGGCTGTAAGGAGCTGTTGAATAATTAGTTTTGCACCTTTAAAGTAGGTTTAATGATGTAGGCTGTAATGATAATGATGATGATGATGATGAAAGTAGGTTTTGAGTTAGTTCAAATAGGGCCTCCATATAATTTTCATTTTTTCCTGCCTGGCACGTGACAGTACCGACGCGTCGCGCCACGCACACAACGACACTTGCTAAGTCAAAGAAGTCTGGACGAATCGGGGACGGCCACCGCCACACTCCGCAATCGCCATTGTTTGAGGCTTTGTTGACTTTTAATAAAATTTTACTAGCAGTCTTGTTTTTCGTTTTCTTTTTTCTTTTTGTAAAATAAATAAATACTAGCTTGCCAGGCAGACGTTGGTTCTGCCCTTTCTGACGACCCTTTGTCATGTCCTATTAAAAATCCTTAAATTCGCTAAAAAATCATTGTCGGTCACTCATGCGCAAAAAACTATACTATCTCTCAAGTTGGGCCAAACTGCACACGGTGTGTAAATGTGATTAAAGTCGGTTAAGTAGTTTAGGAGTCCATCGCGGACAAACAACGTGACACGTAATTTATATATATTAAGAAGATGGTTTTTTTTAAGTAAATTAGTGTTTTATTAATAGGTTATATTACTTTATCTGTACATAAATACATACCTCATAAGTACATTAATTATCATATCACATCACATCAAATTAATTTTAAACATTAAATCTGACCTAACACCATATGCTCAGTGTTAATTTACTCGTATTTTATAATAGTTATTTGGCATTTGTTGTAATGTAAATCTGGAATTTTTTTTACAAACATTGATTCTTTGAGAGGAAAATAAAGGAATGATTAACAAATATGATGCATATTTACGTATCCGTATGTTTTATGTTTGAAAATATTATAACTACTTATAAAAATAAATAATACTTAGCTGTTAAACAAAAAGACAGTGACAACCCTGCAACAGTAGGCATTTAAGTCTCGCGTGGCGCGGGAGTCATTACTACTATTCTGTTTTTACTATGATAGTGTGCACATATAATATTAATCAAGGTAATCTGTGATCAACATGAATAGGAACCATAAATACGCAGTACGGTGTAATATGGTTCACGAGGAAAGTTCAATTAAACGTAGTAATTACACTGATGATGTAATCAGACGTCAAAACTACTAGATGTCATGAATCAGCTGTCGTGCGATTGGCTATTAAAATATATTAGAATCATTTTAAATATTTGTTTAATTAAATCAACATATCTATAAAATTAAACTACAAAATTAAAAGATTTTAGCTTTATATTATAAAGAGTTTTAGTATATATATATATATATATATATATATATATATATATATATATATATATATATATATATATATATATATATATATAAAAAAAAATATAAAAAGTTTTAATTAATTGGTGTTTTATTTTTCATATAAAGGATTATCACAATAGACAATACTGCGGGTAGCGCGATGCGAATAGGTACAAGAGACCATCAGCAAATTCAATGACTGGCCCGTGCGGTGCGTATAAGTGTGTGTTCACCCTAAGCTTGAACCTCAGTATAATAATATATTTATTTATAAACATTGAAGTATAATGAACCATATAATACAATCTTGTGTAATTTAGCAATATATGTATCAGTCAGTAAATTAGTTGCCAACACGAGACATAATACATTTATCAAAAATTGTATACATGTGTACGTGTTTGTTGCATAAATTAAGCCATAATTATGTAAATTGAGTCAGTTTATAAGGTTTCGATACTTATAATTAGCATTATAATGTGCGACAATTATGATTAGCGACAACAGCCTAATGACATAACGTAAATAAATAATTAAAAAACCCCCCCGAAACAAAAAGAGCTGATGATATTTAAACGGCAGAACAGATTTATGGAAACATAGCTAAGAACACTTTCGATGAAACCATTTCAAACGAAAAAAACTTAATCAAAATCGGTCGATCCATTAAGGAGCTATCATGCTACAAACAGATACACACTACAAACTTATAACAACCTTCTGTTTTTGGGAGTTAAAAATATAGGAAACTGAAGTCAAATTATCAAATTAAATTTTTGTCTGATTGTATGTGTATTCACGATTCACGCAAAAACTACTGGATGGATTTGTATGAAATTTTGTATGTGATAAAATGTCCCGAATCACTAACTACCTGTCAGTGATTCGGGACGTTTTATTGGCTACTTTTATCCGATTACGGAACATCAAAAAAGGAAGGTCATATTTTTTCCTACATTTAGAAGTTACTTCATAATAGTTTCTAATGATTCTATTAGTTTAAGGGGGATAATATAGAGTTATTTTAAAAGTATACCACAATATTTATACATAAAGTTTAAAATAACTTTTAACCATCGTGTAATAACTTGAAACTGCGTCGACGATACAAAATAGTGACATTTATCGATAATATAATAATTTAGATGAATTTTAGTTTTATTACTTATTGTTTTGTATTACTAATAAAGTAACAAATAAAATTTAATTAAAGAATTTTACTGAACACTTATTCGTGCCGTGGTAGTTCAGGGACTCAGCGCTCGCTGTATATTTCACAGTACGTGAGAAACCCGGCTTTGAAGCAGGCCAGCACCAATGTAATTTGTAATTGCATTTTTTAGTGCTTACCAAATGCTCGGTGGTGGTTCTGGTGATGAAAAACATCGTAAGGAAACTTGCATGTCTGAGAAATTAAAAAAAATATTTCGAAGGCGTGAATTCCGCCAACACGCATTGGGGCAGCGCAGCGGACACCTAAAACTCTCTCAGTAATGAGAGGAGGTCTTTGCTCAGAGGTGGGACGTATATGTAGTAGTACCTACTTATTGGCGCAGGACTGAAATTGTCGGACTTAAATATCCAGACTGATTTAACTCCTGAATAAATGTTTAGTAAGTATATATCTTGTTTTGAATCCCAAATTAGTTTCTCTAGTGCTAGTTTGAACTAAAGCTCAGAGTGACAACAAATTTTATCTGAAAATCAATTAATATATGAGTGGTAAATTCTAGTTTTGACTAAGTATTTCAAAACTAAAGGCATTTAGTAAAAACTAGTTTTAACTAGGGAAAACGCGTTCTATCTAAAAACGGGTTTTAACTGTAACATAGGGAACGGAAAATAATGAAGGCGTCCGAGCGGGTCATCGACGCCGCCGGTACATCTGCAGCTGTGACGGCCAAGCCCTTGCAAGTGGATGATGTCATTGCATCTATATCAACGCCGGACTGTATTGACATCGATTGTGTGCGATCGCCAATTATAAAGATTCCAAGAATCCATTCGGACATAACTGTGATGTGGGTTACTGTCTATTGATTCTGCGCTCATTGCAGCCACTAAAGGGAAAACACCTACACGGCTGACTGTGCGGTACGTGCAAGAAATCACTGGACTCTGACGAAGTTTCCACGTTGTCACGTTAAAACAGACTTGCATATCCACCTAAGCAACATGGGTTGTCTACATTATATCCCATCAGTGCACGTCTAGTATTATCGCGTCTACCATTCATGCATATACGTTGGTTGCGTTACGGTGGCAGCTACGGCATTGTCGGACAAGTCATTAATGTACGCGTCGATTCGGACAAAATTGTGCATCAGCTAACGGGTCAATTGGACGATGATGATCAGGCGTCCAATGTCAACATCAATCACATTGAGGACTCATACAACAGCAGTGATATTGTGACGGACACATACAGCGTCGCCGAAGACACTTTAATCGGCTACAAGAATCTCTCCGAATCTGCTACAAACCGGCAAAAGTTTCACAAAATGAGTGTCGTCGAGTTGGGTAGACTGCCTTATAAGATCCCTAACATTGACGTTGAGAAAGACATAGTAAACGGCGAGTTAATGTGTGTAGAACTGCTCAATGTAGACAAGCCATTTGCGGAGTTAGAGGCAGGCTGCTGGCTCTAGTCGCACGAGTAAAAAGTTTTGTGGTTATGTTCCTGATCAGCGTTGTTTTATACTTACTACCGCCATTAATGCACAAAGCTTGGTTGCACACTCAGAAGATATCTCTACCGATTTCATCATCAACCGATCTGATTATTTAGTAATTAACGACACGTGGGTAGAAGATTTCAATTCAGTACTTGCCTTGATCTGAGATCATATCGTAACATCGGTAAACGCTGACAAATTGCTACTAAGTCATTCGCGGCAGTATCATCATCATCATCATCAAAATTACCCGTTACGTATACGTACTTACGTAAAAAACACGACCGTGTCCACGACCCAGCCACACCCCGAATTTTTACGGATTTTTTCGCATTTTATTTAACTTTTTAATTCCCGACGTTTCGGGTGCTTTACAGCATCCTTGGTTTCGCGGTGACTGAACTGAGGTATTTGACGCCCCGATGACATAGTTACATTAGATTTGATAGAACACAAATCCTCGCAAAAGAACACCGATTTCTACCTAGGATGATTCGTAAGAGATTATTTTAATAGAGAAGATGGATTAGTACTACCATCTGTTTGGGGTTCGATAATTAATAAAATTAAATCAAAATCCAAGCATACCACTGCAAGACTTCAAGATACTGTAAGCTCATTCCGCGTAGATCGGACAAAAAATTTATATTCAAAACTGAAGGCTTTCGAGCTTACTATGAGATTGGGACGTCAAATACCTCAGTCACACCCGTGACCATAGGTGCTGTAAACCACCCAAAACTACATAAACAGTCAAACATATTTCACTACAACATGTTCTTTGACTGCAAACGCTTTTTGATACATTGACATGAAACCAGTGTTTAAAAAATGTTTTTTTTTTTGTGAAAATTGCGTCAGTGCAAACTCTCGGTTAGCACTACTCGTATGCTAAATGACCTCAATACTGCCCTCCCAACGGATAGGTCTTAAGATGAGCATGTACAAAGATCAAGTATAACATCTTTATCACACCAATGCCGGTAAATGTTAGGAATACTGTACTCTAAGTTGTTACATCGAACTCGGCACTAGTTCAGACCTCAACTCTTTTTTCGGCTAAATCGACAACTATTCTTACTTAACATAGTGTACGGATTAGCGAAAAGATTGAAATCAAAATGCGAAATACTTCTAGAAAGAGCGGCATCCAGCTGTAAAGTATTGGATAGCCAAATCTTAAAAATCCTCGCATTCGTATGCAAAGTTTATTTTGACCTGTAATTCTGTATTTTCATGATCCATTCTTAGTTTATTTCTAGATTCAGTCTAGGCATTACCACAAACCAAAACAATACAAAACATGCGTGTAAATCTATATTTCTGCTTGAAATCTAACTGTATCTAGCTTTAGCGGGACGTTTGGCAAGCCTACCGATAACCTCGATCTCAGTATGTAATTACTCTAAGATCCCGAAGGTCGTATAAATCACACATTTTGATACTCGAAAACTCACTCATAAAAACCTATAGGTAATTATTTTTCATTGATTTAGAAATAGTGAATGAAATTTGGCCAAAAGTAAAATCTCACAGTGCAGGTAAAGAAAAAAACCCGAAATCCATTAATTTGTAGTTAAATAACATGAAATTTTTACAAGCTTACATTTGACTTTGAGCATTGACCGTGGTGTAAACACATGTGTGAGAGAACATTTTTTCAATGCAAAGTTATGTTTGCCCGCAAATTGAGTTACCTTTCAGTTATAATAATGTGAGATGCTTGCGGTACCTACAATATATGAATTTCAGTAAGTTATTTTAGTCCACTTAATCCTTCAGATCCATTACGGCAGCCAGGTCTCAACGGAGGCTAGCTATCTGCGCAGGACATTATCATAGTGTAAAAGCTAGTGCGTAATCACAGGTGTATGGTGCACCTGCACTTTCTATTCACTCACTTGCATAGTCCAATGGGATGGCAATCCAGCATGACTAAAGGTCAGTTCACACCAAGACGACCGATGCAACGCGGCACGCATTTTTTATATGGACTGTTTGGTCGGCCCGCGCGCTATATATATACTCGTTTATTAAAAAATAGACCAATAATTCACTCACGTATTTCCCGGTGAACACATAACCAGAATTTAATTGAAATTGATTTCATTACATTCGAATGAAACTGCTTTTTCACTTAGTGAACGTACCTAAAATTGTAGATTTTGAGGAAACTTTGCGATCTTTTTCTATCGAGCCTAAATGTGTTAATCATGTTTTAGCCAACACAATTCACTAAGAAAAATTTTTAACAGTCATAATGAATTTAAAAAAAAAATGTGAATTCGTAGTTGTAATGACCAAAAATTGAACTTTTAAAGCGTGAAAAATTTGCTTTTGGCGCCCACATCGTCTTAAGATATAACTTTATTTACTACACAAAAATATACATATTTTACTGAGACAATTCGAAAATGTCCCACGGCGTCACTCTACGCCACGCTGCGCTTCGGGGAGCATAGTGGCGTAGCGCGACGTTTCACGACGCACCGTCGCGTCGCTTCGTCGGTAGGCGTAGCGCGCATGAGCGTTGCGCTGCAAGCGACTTTACGATGCGCCTCGCGATGCGACGTCGCGATACCTCTCGGAAACTACTGGCCTCTTCAAGCATCGTCGCGTCGCGTCACCGCTCTGTGTGAACTGACTCTAAAGTCCGGGTCCGGTTTACATTTTGAGAAGTGGCAAGTGTGAATGGCAAGTGTAACTGACACATGACAAGTGCTTAGTGTGAATAAAATTCTCACCAAGCACTTGTCATTTTTCAGTTGCACTTTCCACTCGCACTTGTCACTTCTCAAAATATAAACCGGGCCTAAGGCTCGCAGGGAAATATACCGCTAACCTCCTACCTAAGTGCCGCTACTAAAACCTTGTCAAGAAAAACCCAATAGCAAAATCAGATAGTGTTAATGTCATTGTGATAATAATGGATTGTTATATAAATTTGTTACCTTGTAAAGGTTACAAATTTCATTATCAGAATCCAATCTAAAACCACGCTTAGTGCAAGTTTACTTACCTTAGTTCATAAAATATTATAGTCTCAATCTTTTATAGATTATGCAAAGTTATTGATATTAAAATGCGTTATCGAGGCAAAAAATGGAAATCAAGGGATAACAAGGGTACCGCCGCCATAAGGGAGCCATTTACTTGGACAACAGATGTGGTGTCGAATATAAACCGCGAATTCCCTGAAGCACTTAAACATTTGCAGCACTGCCGAGTCGATTATCGAAAATAGCTCAGATAACCGATTACGGGATTTATTAGAATAGACTAGACCGTTACATCATTTTAATTTATTAAGAGTAAGTAATCGAAAAATCGTAAGATTTTATGAAAAACAAGTCTAAGGAATGACATCTATCTAAATAAACTTGGAAAGTTAAATCTTAATATATATAAATTACGTGTCACGTTGTTTGTTCGCGATGGACTCCTAAACGACTTAACCGATTTTAATCAAATTTTGCACACCGTATGCAATTTGGCCAACTTGAGAGATAGGATAGTTTTTTTTCGCATGAGTGACTCACAACTTTTGTTTTTGCGAATTTAAAAATTTTTTCATTTTGTTTTGGCAAAGGGTCGTCGAAAAGGGTAGAACAACATTTTGCCTAGCAAGCTAGTGTTATTTAAATATACATATACTTAAATTTTTATAAATGTAAAAACTCTTCTATAGTAAGTGCTAAGACAATGTATCAAAGAAGTACGATTTAAATCACGATTTCAGAACTTATTTATTACATGTGTTTACTTATACCTATTTAACCATTTGGTAAAATAATTAAAATTAAAAGGAGAGGTCTAAGGAATAGATAGATCAAGTTAATAAGAATGCCAAACCATGATTTCCAAACAAACTATATATTATACCAAACTACTAGCCAGAAAAGGAGGGAGTATACAGGGCTATTTTGCAATAACCGAGCAAATTTGCAGAGAAGGTTCAAAATAAGTAATATAGGCATATGGTGAAGAAAAATTAATTTTAAAAAATCTCAAAAATACTGTCATAATAATGTAGTATTATATGATCTGTGCATCTAAACATAATGTAATATTATATGATTTGTGCATCTAAAAGTAATGTAACATTATATGATTAATTTGTGCATCTAAAAATAATGTAACATTATATGATTTGTGCATCTAAAATAATGTAATATTATATGATTAATTTGTATATCTAAAATAATGTAATATTATATGATTTGTGCATCTAAAAGTAACAATATATAATGCATCTAAAATAATTAATATATGATTTGTGCATCTAAAAATAATGTAACATTATATGATTAATTTGTGCATCTAAAATAATGTAATATATGATTTGTGCATCTAAAAATAATGTAACATTATATGATTAATTTGTGCATCTAAAATAATGTAATATATGATTTGTGCATCTAAAAATAATGTAACATTATATGATTAATTTGTGCATCTAAAATAATGTAATATATGATTTGTGCATCTAAAAATAATGTAACATTATATGATTAATTTGTGCATCTAAAATAATGTAATATTATATGATTTGTGCTTTTCTGCGGAGGCAAGGCAACAAGGCAGACATGGCAATCGCTCTTTCCCAGCGAAAATGTTCCACTGGTAGTTGACCAACAGAATCAGTGGGTTATTCGTTTGACCAAGATCATGCCTGCCTTCTTGTTGTTTCGACTAAATCTAGTCACTGGTTACGTGCCTTACTATAAAGTAATCTCGGTATATTATTTAATGCGTGGCAATGCCGAAATGAAATCGCGGTTGCATTATAGTGACTGATTTTACTGTGCACTTACATTCATAAAGGTTGATCGGTAGGCAAAAACGAGTTGCCCATAAATCACATTCATTTTGAGACAATTTCAAATAAAAGTAGAAGCCTTACTAACTCGTGTTTTCGAAAACTGTAATAATGGTACATCATTATTTTATATTGGAACTGAAGTTTGAAAAAT